AATTGTCAAAGTTTGATTGCTTTTTCTTTGTGACTGATGTGTTAGGGTAAGATAGTTCCAGCAAGAGGACCAACTGATTTCGGGTGGGATCCAGTGTTTCAACCTGATGGATATGAACAAACGTACGTACGCCTCTGTTATCTCCCAGAAGACATTGTATTTTGGATATCATCATGGTAAAAAGCAAAGGCTGAATAAGCTTGGTGATTTCTTTATTTTGGTTGTAGGTATGCAGAAATGGCAAAGGAAGAAAAGAACAAGATATCTCATAGGTACAAGTCTTTAGCAATGTTGAAATCTCACTTTAAGGAGGCTGGCTATGTGTTCAAGACAGCAGATGATGATACCATTTAAAGAGGAACCCAATCATCATTGTCTCCAGCTTTTGAAGATTTGAGCACTGATCTTACTTACCAGATTGCTTTTTTGGGGATATCAATATTGCTTTTTTTCATGGATTTTGATATACAAGTAGTAACCATGGTTTGGTTTGGTAGTATCGTTCATGTTGTCCATTAAATACTCAGACGGTGTGCTGAGACTTGTATGAATCTGATTAACCGAATGCAAAATAATAAATGTTAGATTGCTAAGAAAAGGTGATGATACCATGTTTCACATGAATTGCCGTTTGTGATCACACAATGTATTTATGAGAGAACAACCAGTGGGTAAAGGTTCTCATTTAGTCTCATGAAAAGGTATACGAATTGGATCCAAAAGAGTAAAGAAAATCCCAACATGTAACGTGTAGAGCAAGGAACATAACCACTTAAACCTCAACCTTAGAAGAAGAAAGAAAGATCTGATCAAACTGTTTATGGGTTTGGCATTGCATCACATGTTAGTGTAACTCTTTCCTTTCATTTACTACTACTCACCTACTTCATCACGATTCCATAACTGGTTTGCTTTAGGTTGCGTTAAAAAATCAAAATCAAGTTCATCATCATCCAATTGAAACACGAGCAGAGCAACAAGCAAACAAGACATTAAAAAGCTACTCAATCGTTTTTGTAACAAATGTTGCATATACTATCACCACCTTGAAAAGGGAAAGTAAAAATAAAACCTGAAAAGGACTCTAGAAACTGGAATGCATGAAGGGAGTTAAGATCCATTAAAACCCAAGGACCTTAACAACCCCAAAACCTAAACCGTAAGAGATTTTCAGACTAAAATGGAAACCTTTTGAACAACGCTTCTGCGCTTGCTCCTCTCTGTATTCCCCACATTTTCGAAGAAGAAGCAAGCCGAGGTTGACCAATGACGAACAATGACCCGACCCAAAAAAAGAAAGGAGAGTACTATGCACTTAGCCAAAGATATGTGAAGGGTTTAGGGTTAGTTACTATGGTTGGTATAGAGAGAGAGAGAGAACTAGCAAGGTCTGCCCTGGCGGCAACCTAGTGCTCCTGCAGTAGAGGTAATAGTGTCAACCATTGATGATGGTTTAGCTGCTAAGCTTGAGGCTCGTCCATAGCTAGCTGAAGCTCCTGCTCCTGATGCCCTGAAGAATGCTCCATTCAGTAGAAGGTCTCCTTCTGACCTCCAGTTCCACTTCTTCCACTCACTTGCATCCGTCTCTACTCTCTTCGTCACCTGTTTGTTGGAACATCCACATTTTTAACTTGGTATACATATAACAACAACAACACCTTACTCTGTTATAAGTAAAACAAATTAGGTTTTAAGAAAAGAAGATTGAACCTCCTTGGCGAAACGGTCCATGGGAGCAGCATATCTGTTTCCCTGACTGTTGATGGTTGGCTCTGCACTCCCACCAATGGCGTACATCTCCCAGTGTGTGTAGTCGTTGTTAACCACATGGAAATACCCATGCCTGCACCTGCAGCCATTACACACACCAATTTCTACTGTTAACACAACAAAATGGCAACTTAAGTCTAACAAGTTGAAAACAAATACTACCTTGGCATTCTCTGAACCAGTCCTACTCCAAAATGGTTGTACGCTATGGTCACTTGCATCAGCTTGTCTTTTGTGTACGAGTCACTGTGCCCTAGCAACATCACCTGCATACACACAGTATCATGAAAACAGAACATTAGGCTCTATAAACAAGGTTAGGTTAGGGATAGAGGAGGCAGTGAGAAACGAGACCTCATTGTGGTGGGTAAAGTGGTTATTGGAAACGGTAATAGCAGTGGAACCCATGACAGCATCAACAAGCCCATCGGCACAGTGAGAGAGAGAGTTATGATCAATCCAGATATGAGATGATCCAAAAATGGAGATTGCATCACCATCAGCCATTGTCCTCCAACCAAAATGAGATGGAGAGCTTCTAACCATTGCGTTTCCAGTAGGCTTGCAATCGTGAATATGCAAACCATGAATGATAACATTCGTGATAAACTGGATGGTAATGCAAGCACCATTGGCTATATGGACATTGGCACCACGACCATCAATGGTCTTGAAACTGTTCATGATCAGTTCCTGTTTCAGCTCAATCACCATGTCTCTTTTGAACACAATCCAAAGAGGCTCTTCCTGGATAACCGCATGGCGTAAAGTTCCGGGTTTGGGATTAACAACATCTTCATCAGTCGGGTCAGTGACGACATAGAAGCGTCCATCACGACCACCAATTGCGTTCCGTCCAAAACCAATCCCACAATCAGCGAGACGTTTACGGTTATTATGCCAGTTACGGTCACAACGCCAACAGTCATCAATTGGATTACCGGTTCCACATGAGAAAAATCCAAGCTTTCTCCTTGCAGTCCTGTTATGCTCGCTCCTGAAATCAACTTGATAAATCAATCACACACCAAAAAAGGGATTCTTTTTTGTCTTTTGTCTAAATCTAGAAGCTGATTAAACATCTCAGCCGCCAATCTGTTTGTTCTTACCTACCGTAATAACTTATAGATCTCTTTTTTTTGTTGGTTTGTAAACAAAAGTAGTTGCAGAGTAAATCCGATTTTGTTTTCCATTAATGGTGAACAGGTGAAAACTAAAACAGAGCAGACCATAATATCGAAGATGATAGAGACTCAGAAACTAAATGCCGGCAGAAGCCGTTACTAAACCAATATCTTTCGTGTTATCACCAAATCCAGAAAAAAAAAGTGACTCGAATTAAATGAGGCTAAAAAAGCAGAGTTACAAAACAAAAACAATGTCCGTGCGACTCTGACAATATAGAGAGCGTTTGTGAATCGACAATGTGTCAGTTTTTGGACGAGGGATGGCTTTCATGTCTGTACCTATATCAATCTATAAAGGTTTTTAGCTGGTGGCACTTCACGACGAAAATTAAAGAGAGAGAGAGAAGACGAAAAAAGCAAAAGTTTTTTCTCTTACCCATGAACATTAATTAATAAAAAAAAAAAGCAAAATTTTTTGTTTCTGTTCTATATAACTCAACCAATCGTTTTACTGATATTCTTTCTAACTCGGGACATAATTATGCTTTTCTGGGTTCTCTAAGGTTTCACGTGTTAGTGGAGACTTTGTCGTCTAAATCGCTGATTCTCATCAAATTCTCCAGGAATTAAAATTAATGCATTCACATAAAAGTGGAAGAGAGAGAGAAACGTACATGTGAATAAGCGTAGCGACCTCATCGGCAACTTTATCTGGATCTGCAACCGCG